CAGGGTTGGCTTAGGCAACAACACCTTGCTCGTGGGCCAAGGTGTTTCTATTTCCGCATCACAGCATAGGGGTGCCCGCACTGCAGGGGCCAGGGCCCCCCCCTGCAGCACCAGGAGCAAGAAGGAAGCTGGCAGGCCGGGGTGATCGCACCTCACCTGGATTCTCCACCCCCCTTGAAAGGAACGTGACCCCTAAGGCCTCATCTCCTTCGTATGCAGTTCAGACCCTCACTGGGAAACGTTACCACAGCAGCATGACTTCCAGCAGACATCCATTCGCCAGTGCTAGCGTGGCTTCCCACAGGAAGATTGGGGCCGGGCGTTTTTTAAATAGAGGTCTTTGTACACGGGCCACATCCGTGAGGAGGCTACGCGCTCCAGGGGCCCGGGCTCAGAGCTCACAAAAGAGCTCCCGGGTGTCCGAGCCTAAAACACCCCCTTCCCCACCCTTCCGTTTCTCTGAACAGAAAACAAAAGAGAGGATCAGAGAGACTGCTATTTTATTTGTATTCATGAACCTGGCTGTAATCAGTTATGCCACAAAAGATGTCACACAGTACCACTGGTTGAAATAAAGCCTATTTTTCAAACGTAGTAAGTCTCGAGTTTATTCTGTTTTGACTCTGGTCTCTTTATTCCACACCTAGTGCCGCAGTAAGTAGATCGATATTCTCATGGAAAATGTAGAAGAGGCATTGCTGTACCTTCGGTGAAGCGAGCTGGGCCTGTGATATGGCGGGCAAAGCAAAGAGCCAAGAAGCCGGGCACCACCGGGCAGGGCTCTTTGTTACCACTTGGGTGTAAGAATGGCTTCAGGAAGGGCCAGTAAACCACGACCTGAGGGGCAAACCCACCCCCTCCCCCACCTGTTCTGGTGTGGCGTTAAGTTTTACCAGAACACAGCGCACACGTCCGTCCACGTGTTCCCCATGGCTGATTTCGGGCTGCCGTGGCAGAGGGCATCATTGCGACAGGCCGCGTGGACAGCAACTTCTCAACTTTTATTCTGTGGCCTCCCCCAGAAAACAACCAACACCTGCCTAGAATGTCGATCAAAGGAAGCAGCTTAAGTACACATGGGGGCTGTGTTGTTTCTGCCTTGACCATCCAGACCAGTGGTTCTCAACCTTCCCAATGCCACGACCCTTTAATACAGTCCCTCGTGGTGTGGTGACCCCCCCAACCATAAACTTGTTTCCGTTACTACTTCATCACTGTCATTTTGCTACTGTTATGAATCAGGTGACCTCTGTGTTTAAAAGGGTCGTTCAACCCCCAAAGGGCTCATGACCTACAGGTTGAGAACCGCTGATCCAGACCACATGTAAACAGTACACTTTTATTTTTACATTGCCACAGGGATGGCTGCATGTGTTCACATAGGTGTGCACATACACTCTAGAGGTATACGTGCGTGTACATTGTTGCTAGGCTCTAGACAGGGGTCTTTTATGAGTGTCTTCTATTCACTGGCCAGGCCCCAGGAGCATACTCGTCAGAACTACGTTACCTCACAGCATTAAGGAACCATGGGCCCATCCCATGACCAAGTTCTAGTGGCCCATGCGGCTGCACTGCCTCTCAGTCACTGTGGAATGCTGACAGGTGTCCCAGGACGGCTTGACGGGGCCCAGCCCTTGAGGCTGTCCAGTGCCCAGTTGAGCCTGCTGTGCTGCCTGGTCCCTGGCTGGCAGCTGGGAGTGGTGGCGATGATAGAGGTCAGCAAGCACAGCTCCCTCCTCACCCTATCTACAGTGACTTGTGAAGCAAGTGAGAGAGAAGGCGCCCTTTGTCATACGTGGTGGATCTGACCATGCCACCTCTGTGCGCTGCCAGGAACACCCGGCTGTCAAGCCTCTGGCAGGCAGGGCACCAGCACACCTTGCTCAGAGTCTTCTCCACCTACCTGGGGGCCTTCACGGCCTGGGTTATAAGGATTCGAGTCAAGACTTTTTGACAATAACGCTCTTGGGGCTGGGTAATTCTTGGTCGTGAAGGTGCTTTATCGGATGTCGAGTATTCCTGCCCTCTGCCCACCGTATTACAAGAGCACACACACAGCTCACACTTTCTTCAAACAGCACGGTGTCTCCTAGGTGCCATGCAAAATCACCCCCAGTTGAGTATTGCTAGGCTGAAGCATGTCTTGCAGAATACAAGCCTGCTTTTCTTCAAAAATAATTGAAAGCTCCCCCAAAACCCAAACTCACTGCCATCAAATTGATTCCAACTCGTAGTGCCCTGTACCACAGGGTGAAACTGCCCCTGTGGGTTTGCGAGACTCACCCAAGTCCAGTGGAAAGCCTCATCTGTCTCCCACAGAGCGGCTTGTGGTTTGGGACACATAATGGCTACACCATCAACCCATTGTTGCTAAGAAGCGACTTGGGGTCACAGTCACTAGCTTTCTCACATGATAACGATTACAAAAAGTAACAAACCCCGGTGGTGTCGTGGGTTAGGAATGAGGGCTGTTTCGAGGGAGACTTTTGACTCCCCACCGGCCCCTTGCTCAACACCTAACCAGTCTGGCTTTGCTCCTTTGCCCCGGACCTAAGACATTGTAGACTCATTCTGTCCTCAGCTTGGGTCGATGTAATATGCACAATAAATCATCTCTTCTGCTGCCTTGGCTGAAGAATTAAAAAAAAAAAAAAAAGGATTTGTTTCAAAACCCTCAGGAGTTCTACTCGTTCTTTAGGGTTGCTGAATCAGAAGCACTGACGGCAGTGGGTTTCAGAGTTTGGGACATAGGGGCATCTTTCTGTTAGAAGTCACAGCTGCATGAGGGAAGAGGTGTGACTTTAACCTCATTTGGCAATAATTAAAGAAGAAGAAAAAAGGTGCTACTACCTTTGTATGTGTCAGTTGAAGGGAGGAGGGTGGGGATGATGCCGTGAAATTACAGGCCCAGCCTAGACCCTGGACAAAGATCAGTAGTTCTTAGCTCTGTAAGATCCAATGCAAATTGGTTTCATAGGAAGTATTTCACAGGATCCCGTTATAACCCTGAACGTAAGTGCACCGATCATATTCACTGTTGTCGGGTGTCCTCGAGTCGGTTCTGCCCCACAGCAGGCGACTCTGCGAAGTCCTGCCCATCCTCACACGTGGTCTTTTATTTGAGCCCATTGGTGCAGCCGATCTGTCTTATCAGTGGTCTTCTCTTTTTCACGGCCCCTCAATTAAGCATGCTGTCCTGACAACGTAGCCGAAGTGCGTGAGACCAAGTCCTGCCAACCTCGCTTCTAAGGAGCATTCTGGCTGTAGATCTTCCAAGACAGACTTGTTTGTTCTTTTGGCAGCCCGTGGGACTTTCAATAGTCTTTGCCAGTACAATAATTGAAATGCATCAATTCTGCAGTCTTCCGTATTCAAACATTATGTGCATATAGAGAGGGGGTACCCAAAAAAAATCCAGATTTTTTTTCAAAGCTATGTATTTAAATTTTTTTACAAAACAACTTGATCACCTTCAAAGTATTCTCCATGACACTTAATTTATTTGTCAAATCTGTGATTCCATTCTTGGAAACATTTTCCAAACGCATCTGTTTGGATGGCTGACAGCACCTCCTTCGGTTTTGGGTTTGTATTTTTTTACCTCTTCTAAGTTGTCAAATCGCTGTCATTTAATGTCCCTCTCCAGCCATGGAAACAAAAAGAAGTCACATGGAGGTCAGGTGAGTAAGGTATGTGGGGCATGCTGGGGTTTTTTGCCCAAAACTGGCACACTGAGATGGCTGTATGAGCAGGTGCATTGTCGTGGTGGCAAAGCCAGTCCCTCGTCTGCAACAAATCAAGCTTTTTTTGGTCACACACTGTTATGCAATCTTTGCAGAACCTCTAAATAGAAAGCTTGATTAACAGTCTGACCTGGTGGTACGAACTCCAAATGCACTATGCAAAATGCACTACAAGTGACATTTTCATCCTTTCAGGAAGTTGACAGATGTTCAGAACAAGCTTTGTCATCAATGGACATTTCACCTTTTTTTAAAACAAAACCACTCACACACTTACTTGAGTTTTTCCCGTAGCGCTGTCCTAGTAATCTGTGTTCAACATCACAATAGTTTCTGCGGCATTTTTCCCAAGCAGGAAACAAAATTTCACAGTCGCATACTGTTCTCCTATCACCAAACGCAAGGTTTGAGTGAAATTGCTTCTATGAAAAAATTCACTGTGACCAGAGGGAACCTTCCCAGGTGATGACACCAGATGTACTCACTCAGAGCAAGTTGCTTGATGCTCACCTGGGGGTGGGAGGTGGAAGCATGCATACTACGAGAGCTCCAGCTCCTCCCAGTGCAATTCTGGTTTGGAATTGAGGACCCCTCATATGTACAATTCCCAAGGAAACATACATCTCTAAAAAAAGGAAAGAAATCCTGATGTGGAAACACACGTAGCTACCGAAAAGACATAACTCCATAGTCAGCGCTCACACCTACTCTTGGTGTCACTGTGAAGGTCACAGCCACAAACAAGGGCTGTACCAGCAGTTGGGGAATCATGACCAACTCTGCTGTCACCGTGTGATTTCCTCAAATTTATGAACAGGTCTTGGTAAGATTCCAAACAAAGCACATATTTTAAAATGCTTTTTCATATGTACGAAAGTATATCAGCACGACTGAAAACCTGTTTTTTGAAGTCCCTAGATTTATATGTTTTCATTCAAAATAAGCTTTATGTCATGTCACCAACATCATCGCGAGTGTCCCACTAGAATGCGAGTGTCCCACAGGGACTTATATACAGATTGCTTATGCTTTTATAAGAAAACTAAAGCTGGTTCTTCGGTGCCCATCCTTCTGAAGTCCATTCGTTTCTGTGATCGAGTGAAGAGAAGACAGCCTTGCCATGTGAAGGGTGGACCCAGAATAAACCAGAATTTTTTTCTCAAAGGTATTTAATTAATATTTAAAATAAATCCTTTTATTGGGGGCTATTATAGCTCTTATAACGATCCACACATCAATTGTATTGAGCACATTTGTGCATATGTTGCCATCATCATTTTCAAAGCATTTCTTTCTACTTGAACCCTTGGTATCAGCTCTTTTTCCCCTCCCTTCCCCACCCTCCCACCCTTGTGACCCTTTGATAAATTATAAATTATTATTTTCATATCTTTTCTTACACTGTCCACTGTCTCCCTTCACCACGTTTCTGTTATTCATGCCCCTGCGTGTGGGGAGGGGGGTAATACATCGATCACTATCCCCCTCACATTAAAAAAAAAAAAGAGTATTGTCTTGATCTTTGATTTCATATGATGAGCTTTTGGGGGGCGAGGTGATAATGGGGTCTTTACTGACTTGACTGATGTTTGCTTTTGTATTTCTTGGTGATATTGAATTGGTCGAGATGATTGGTTCCAAATCTGTGTGTGTGTGTGTGTGTGTGTGTGTGTGTGTGTGTGTTGTGGCATAGGAGGAGGGGGTACTTGGAAGTGCTGGCCATCTTGATGGCCTTGAGATCTTGGCCCGGCATGGCCAAGGTGGTGAGGTAGGGCATCTCAGCCAGTCATGGTTCTCCGCCTCCATCTCCCGGCAACATTGGTGTGCTTTCCCGTCCACGTTTCCAGAAATGCAGTGGCTGGGGAGGAGGAACCTCCTAGGCCCCCGGAGTCCCGCCAAAACCTATGCTTGATGTGTAAGATTGCATTAGGGTCTCAGCTGAGATCTTCAAAAACAGGTTTTTCACCTTCATGAAAGTCCAGCAGGGTATGTGTTATCTGTGATGTGAGACGTTTCTTGAGAATCCCCCTCTCAGCCCGCTCGCTGCTTCCTGCCAAGTGTCAATAATGCCCTCAGCCATTGTGACAACTGAGAATGACCCTCCTGAGAAAGAGCAGGCATGACTTCTTCCCTCCCTGCTAAAAGGAAAGATACACTATCGTGAACTACTATCCTATGTTAGGCCATTTATTGTATTGTTTTATTTTGTAACTGGCATTTTATTGGTTGTTTTGAGATCAGTACAGAGACATTATGAACAATTTGTACCCAATCCTTAATGCATGTACCAAAATCCTAAAATGGCATGTAGATAAAATTCGTCTCTAAATTCCAGTGACTTTCCAGCTTTAAAGTTAGAGGCAAATTTTAAAAAGAGATGATCAAGTACCATTATCTTCAAATGCTGGTAAACTTACAGCTTAAGTCCCACGAATTCACAATTCAATGTCACACACACTACACACTCAAGTGTTCAATCCTTCACAGCACGTAACAAAGTGATCGGGAACACGGGACTACCACTACCAGGTGTTACAGAATGCACAGTTCTGACGAAAGCCGTGATGGCAGAATGGTTTTCAGACCCAATTATTTTAAGAGAACAAATGTGGAAACAAAATTTTAAAGTTCAAGTCATACAAATGCATGACGCTGACTCCAAATTGCCATTTAGTATGTTTTGTATAGGGAATACAAAAACTTCCCCCATCCCATGGAATGTTGACACCCAAGACAGTCAAATCTTCCCACAATTCAACATCCCACTATTTTCTGGTTGTACTACAAAATAAACAACCAGTAAATGATTTCACAGCTTTAAAAAAACCATTTACACTAAAAAAAAATGGGATGAATTGAGATTTCCTTCTTAAAAATGTTTCTAGAGCTACTAAAAAACTTGCATTTACAAAATAGTTGAAAAAATATTCCTCTGGATTGCGCAAGAAGGGAGGGAACAGGGCCCCCTGTTGAGACCTGATAAACATGAATCAGACTCGGCTTCTTTTTCTCCGGCTTCATGGAGGCTGGGCTCCTCGTGATTCGTTTCTCCATTTTCAGCAGGTAGAATCTCCTTTAGCTTCCTGGTCGGCTCCTTCCGCCTGTTGCCCTTTGCGCCTCTTTCCCTTTTGCTTGCACTGTTTGTCCGAAGATTGATCCTTTCCTGGGCCTTTTTTGGCTCCATCTCCACTTTTGCAGGCAAGGGTTTCGCCGACAATCTGGCGGATCTCTTCGGCTCCTCCTTCACCGCCCCTTCGGCCGAGCTGACCTTCCTCTTGGGCATCTTGGCTGTGGGGAGGGCGCTTGCAAGATGCCTTCGGACCGCGGGCCACCGAGAGCCTTCTCGGAGCTGGATCGCCAGGCGCTGCCGCTCTGCCCGCCACTGCCCGAGCTGCTAGGACCCGTGGCGGGGCTTAGGCCATTTATTTTATTGTTTTATTTATTTTTGTTAGGCAATTTAAATCCTTGAATATCTTTTTTTTTATCGTTTTATTAGGGGCTCATACAACTCATCACAATCCCTACATACATCAATTGTGTAAAGTGCATTTGTACATTCATTGCCCTCATCATTCTCAAAACATTTGCTCTCCACTTAAACCCCCGGCATTTGGTCCTCATTTTCCCCTCCCTCCCTCATGAGCCCTTGATAATTTATAAATTATTATTTT